CCAATATGTCGAGGGGGGCTTGGGGGAGCAAGTATTTGGACGAAAATAGGAATGTTTTTGTCAGGAATTATGAGGCTGGGGTTATGTTTTTCCCCAAGTTTTTTGACGAGGAGTATTTCAAGATTGGGGGGAAAGGTGGGCCGGGGTTTCCCATGGTGTGCGATTTGCCGCTCACCGAGTACGAAAAACGGGACCGTCCCTTTTGTGACATGTATTGATAAGGGAAACGTGTTTTTTTGTATTTTTGTTCGTGATGAGGTGAAGTTTGAACACCTGATTATTTTTTAATAAAGATAGAGTATTTTTGATTGTGTTGTTTTTGTGTGTGAATATTTCAGAGTGGTTTCTGGCCGGTCCGACTGACGAAGGTTATTTCGACAGAACTTCCCTCGACTCAACAAAATCCTGAACCTTTGAAAGCCAACAAAATAAGAAATTGAAAAAATCGGAAATTAAAATTAAAATTGTCAAATTGTTGTCTAAATGTTTACCAAAATTCACCGAAAAATTGAAAATAACAAATTCCAAATGTCGAATTTTGAAAAATCGAAAACCGAGAATTCGAAATTTAAAAAAATCGGAAATCAAAATTTGGAATTAAAAATTTAAAAAATGAAAATTAGAAATTGAAAAATCCAACATGGAAAAATAGAACAATTAAAACCAAAAATACGAAAATTACTAAAATCGAAAATCCGACAAATTGAAAAAACGAAAATTCCAAAAACCGTTAAAATCAAACCGAAAATTCAAAATTACGAAATTCAAAATATGTATAGAAAATTTAAAAAATCAAAAACTGAAAAATCGAAAACTCGGAAAACTAGTATGCATTAGAATTACGAAATTCAAAAAACCGAAAAGAAAATCCAGAAGAATAAAAAAAACTAAAATCCAGAAAATTCAAAACAAAAAAAATTCAAAAAATCTAAAATTAAAGAATGAAAAAACGGAAAATCGCTAAAAGGAAAATCGAAAAATCTAAACTCAAGAATTCGAAAATTCGGAAGATCGAAAAATTGAAATTGGATTATTCAAAAAATCGAAAATCGAAAATTTGAAGAATTGAAATTGGAAAATTAAAAAAATCGAAATATTGAAAATCGAGAATTCAAAATGTCAAAAATTCAAAAAATTCAAAATTCGAATTATTGAATTTCGAAAAATCGAAAGCTAACAAATCGAAAAATCAAAATTCGAAAATTCAAAAAATCGCAAATCGAAAAATCGAAAATTGAAGAATCGAAAAATGGAAAAACGGAAATCTAGAATTGGAATTAGAAGATTAAAAAAATCGAAAATAAAAAAATCGAAGAATCGGAAATTGAAAAATCAAAAATCGAAGATTCAAAATAAAAGAATTCAAAAAATCGAAAATTGAAGGATGAAAAACCGGAAAATCGCAAAAGGGAAAAACGAAAAATCCAAACTCAAGAATTCGAAAATTCGGAAAATCGAAAAATTGAAATTGGATTATTCAAAAAATCGAAAATCGTAAATTTGAAGAATTGAAATTGGAAAATGCAAAAAATCGGAATATTGAAAATCGAGAATTCAAAATGTCAAAAATTCAAAAAATGCAAAATTCGAAATATTCAATTTCGAAAAATCGAAAGCTAACAAATCGAAAAATCAAAAAATCGCAAATCGAAAAATCGAAAATTGAAGAATCGAAAAATGGAAAATCGGAAATCTAGAATTGGAATTCGAAGATTAAAAAAATCGAAAATAAAAAGTCGAAAAATCGGAAATTGAAAAATCAAAAATCGAAGATTCAAAATAAAAAAATTCAAAAAATCGAAAATTGAAGAATCAAAAAATGGAAAATCACAAAATGGAAACCTGAAGATCTAGAATTGGGATTGGAAAATTCAAAAAATCGAAAGTAGAAAATCGGAAATCGAAAAATCAAAAATTCGGAAAATCGAAGAATTGAGACTAGAATATTCAAAAAATCGAAAATTCAAAAATCGAAAATCGAAAATTCAAAAATCGGAAATCGAAAAACCGAAGAATTGAAGTTGGAAAATTTAAAAATTCGAAAAATTGCAAATTGAGAATTCTAAATTTCGAAAATTCAAAAAATCGAAAAATCGAAAAACTGACAATCGAAAATTCGAAAGCTGACAAATTGAAAAATCAAAATTCAAAAATTCAAAATATTGAAAATTTAAAAAATCGAAAATTGAATCGAAAAATGAAAAATTATCGAAAATCGAAAAATCTGAAAATCAATAAATTGGATATTGAAAAATCTAAAATCGGGGATTAAAAAAATCGAAAATTTGGAAAATTGGAATTGGAAAATTCAAAAGTTTGAAAATTCAAAAATCGGAAATCAAAAAATCGAAAATTCCAAAAACCGACAAAATCAAACCGAAAAATCGAATGCTGACAAATCTAAAAATCAAAATTCGAGAATTAAAAATTTAGAAAATTCATAAAATTGAAAATTGAAGAATCAAAAAATGGAAAATCAAAAAGTGGAAAATCGAAAAATCGAAACTAGAAAATCGAAAAATCAGAAATCGAGAATTCGAAAAATCGAAAATTTGGAAAATCGAAGAATTGAAATTAGAAAATTTGAAAAGTCGAAAATTCAAAAATCTAAAATTCGGAAAACCGATAAAACCAAATCTAAAAATCGAAAGCTGACAAATCTAAAAATCAAAATTCGATAATTCAAAATAACGAAAAATCAAAAATAAAAAATAAAAAAATCGGAAAATGTCTACTTTTTACTTTTTCGATTTTTCCATTTTTGGATTTTTAAATTTTAGATTTTTCAATCTTTTGATATTTTAATTTTTCAATATTTCTTAATCTTTCGATTTTTCGACTTCCTGGTTTTAGATGTTCTATTTCAATGTTTCGATTTGTTAATTGTTCATTCCCGATTTATCGAGATTTGATTGTTCAGGTTTTCGATTGGTCAGTTTTTCGAATTTTCCACTTTTTCGTTTTTTGATTTTTCCGCTTTTCCAATTTTTCACCTCTTGACTTTTTGTATGTCGATTTCTCTATTTTTCGATTTCTCGTTCTTTTGATCTTTCAACTCTCAATTTTTCAATTTTTCGAATTTTTGAGTCGGAAGCTGACAAATCGAACGATCAAAATTCGAAAATTCAAAATAAAAAAATTCAAAAAATCCAAAATTGAAAAATGAAAAAACAGAAAATCGCAAAAGGGAAAATCGAAAGATCTAAAATCAAGAATTCGAAAATTCGGAAAATCGAAAAATTGAAATTGGAAATCTAGAATTGAAATTCGAAGATTAAAAAAATCGAAAATAGAAAATCGAAAAATCGGAAATTGAAAAATCAAAAATCGAAGATTTAAAATAAAAAAATTCAAAAAATCGCAAATTGAAGAATCAAAAAATGGAAAATCGCAAAAGGGAAACTTGAAAATCTAGAATTGGGATTGGAAAATTCAAAAAATCGGAAATCGAAAAATCAAAAATTTGGAAAATCGAAGAATTGAGTTAGAATATTCAAAAAATCGAAAATTAAAAAATCGGAAATCGAAAAATCGAAGAATTGAAAATGTCGACAATTCAAACAATGGAAAATTCGAAATATTGAATTTCGAAAAATCGAAAAACTGACAATCGAAAATTCGAAAGCTGACAAATTGAAAAATAAAAATTCAAAAATTCAAAATATTGAAAATTCAAAAAAATCGAAAACTGAATCGAAAAATGAAAAATCTAAAATTCGAAAAATCAATAAATTGGAAATTGAAAAATCAAAAATCGGGGATTCAAAAAACCGAAAATTTGGAAAATCGAAGTATTGAAATTTGAAAGTTCAAAATGTCGAAAATTCAAAAATCGGAAATCAAAAAACCGAAAATTCCAAAAACCGACAGAATCAAATCGAAAAATCGAAAGCTGACAAATCTAAAAATCAAAATTCGAGAATTCAAAATGTAGAAAATTCAGTTTTCAATTTCCTGAAGGATCAAAAAATGGAAAATCAAAAAGTAGAAAATCGAGAAGGCAAAATTTGAACCTGGAAATTCAAAAAATCGAAACCAGAAAATCGAAAAATCAGAAATCGAGAATTCGAAAAATCGAAAATTTGGAAAATCAAATAATTGAAATTAGAAAATTTGAAAAGTCGAAAATAAAAAATTAAAAAATCGGAAAATGTCTACCTTTTTACTTTTTCGATTATTCCATTTTTGGATTTTTAAATTTTAGATTGTTCAATCTTTTGATATTTTAATTTTTCAATATTTCTTAATCTTTCGATTTTTCGACTTCCTGGTTTTAGATGTTTCGATTTGTTAATTTTTTCATTCCCGATTTATCGAGATTTGATTGTTCAAGTTTTCGATTCGTCAGTTTTCGAATTTTCCATTTTTTAGTTTTTTGATTTTTCCGCTTTTCCAATTTTTCAACTCTTAACTTTTTGTTTGTCGATTTCTCTATTTTTCGATTTTTCGACTTCATCACTTTTTGATTTCTCGTTCTATTGATCTTTCAATCTCTCAATTTTTCAATTTTTCGAATTTTTAAGTTTTTTGATTTCTCGATTTATCGAGATTTGGATTTTTCGATATTTTGATTGTCAGTTTCTCGATTTATAAATTATTCAGTTTTTAACTTTTCGATTTTTTGCTAGTATAAAACACAAATGAAGAATTAATTCTTAGTTAAACAAAATATGTAAAATCATCTAAATATGTACCAAAAAATATTCCCCGCAGAAATTATAGTCCAAACGAACCAAATCGCTTCCGAACGCTTAGAGTTGACATTGGCCTGAGCGCGCTCTGGTCTCTAGATCAAACAAGTTCTCAGGCGACGAGTTGTACTGAAACAAGTTTTTTTATTGGCGGTTCCTGAGGACTCCAATGTTAATTAGGGTGGCTTTGCAAAATCAGCCTGTATGTCGCATCTATATTAATCTATGGTGTTACCTACGTGTTCAAAAACACACTGGGGAAGCACCATTTTATCAAAAAATAAATCATTATCTCCATTTTATCTAATCTACACACTATTTTGTCAGTTTATTGTTAAATACACGAGTTTGTATTAGTTTACTCCAAAATGGAATCCACGACTCTGGAAAAATTAGAAAAGGCCGCTCCTTACAACATTCTCTGCAACATCATCCCGGAATCGTCCGAAACGTCGCAGCAGCCCAACGCCATCAACTTTCGAGACCTACTTTGTCCGAGTCTGGGCAAACTCAAGTCGTCCTTACAAATAAACTTCATCATCGGAGTCGGGTGGTTAATGCAGCAATACGAATCCCAAAATCTAGCGTAAGTTTGAATTTTTGTCCCTCGGGAACTTGCTAGTCGAAAATTTTAGAACAAAACCGCTGACCCTTCTATATGGTAACCAACTAAGCGAAGAGAGCGAAAAATACCTAGAAACTTTCCCCAACGTCAGTCACGAGTACGTGGAGATCAAGGGCTGCCACCACACGTAAGTTTCCCGGTTCGAAAAAAAACTGACTCAGAGTTGGCTCTTTTCAGAAAAATGGGAATCTACGTGTATGAGGATAGTTCGCTTCGAGTGGTGGTGTCCACCGCAAATCTGTACCAAAAAGAGTGGGAATATGCTAATCAACAGTATGTAGTGTGGTGACACTTCCATTTTTTCAAACTTTGTTGTTTTTTAGGTTATGGGTGAGCCCTCTGTGTCCGTCGCTCCCGGAAACCGCCCCAGACACCTCTGGAGAGTCCGCAACCAACTTCAAATCCGCTCTCCTAGATTATCTACAATCCTACAAACTAGATATAGTCCAACCATGGATCTCCTACGTCACACGAGCCGACTTCAGCGACGTCAAAGTCTTCCTCGTTACGTCAATTCCGGGTCAATACACCCCCCCGTCCACCCGTTGCCACCTCCACCATGTCGGGGATTTACTCGCCCAACACTGTACTCTCCCCGACGGTGACGCCACCTCGTGGCCAATCATAGCCCAAATGTCGAGTGTGGGTTTCTACGGTAAATCCCCGGCCGAGTGGCTGCGCGGTACTTTCCTGCGAAACATAGCCGCCCACGACCGCTCCAAACAGGTCTACCTCTCCAGCGCCCCCTTGAAGATCGTCTACCCCTCTCGGCGGAACGTGCGCGACAGCTACCTTTCCAAAAACGGGGGGTTTTGTCTCAACTACGATATAGAAATGAGCAACAAGCAGGACTGGCTACGAAACTACCTGCAGTGAGTATGATGACGTTTCGGGTTTCGCTTGTGCAACTTCAGGGTTTTTTTTAGTCACTGGAAGGCGGACGAACTCGGGCGGAGTCGGGTCATGCCGCACGACAAATTCTACTGTCGGATTTCGCCGTGTTTGACTAAGTTGGCGTGGTTTTTGCTCAGTAGTGCCAATATGTCGAGGGGGGCTTGGGGGAGCAAGTATTTGGACGGAAATAGTAATGTTTTTGTCAGGAATTATGAGGCGGGGGTTATGTTTTTCCCCAAGTTTTTTGGCGAGGAGTATTTCAAGATTGGGGGGAAAGGTAGGGCGGGGTTTCCCATGGTGTGCAATTTGCCGCTCACCGAGTACGAAAAACGGGACCGTCCCTTTTGTGACATGCATTGATAAGGGAAACGTGATTTTTTGTGTTTTTGTTTGTGATGAGGTGAAGTTTGAACACCCGATTATTTTTTAATAAAGTTACAGTTTTTTTGATTATGTTCTTTTTTGTATGAATATTTCGACAGCACTTCCCTCGACTCAACAAAATCCTGAATCTTTGAAAAATTACGTAAATTTCTTGCGGTTTGTGACTTAAATTTTTCAATTTTTGAATTTTTCTTTTTTGAAATCGAAAGTTAGACATTTCAAAAATTCCAAAAATCGATTAATCAAATATTCGAAACATCGAAAGTCAACAAAATAAAAAATTCAAAAAATCGAAAATTAAAATTAAAATTGTCTAATGTTGTCTAAATGTTTACCAAATTCACCGAAAAATTGAAAATCGCAAATTCCAAATGTCGAATTTTGAAAAATCGAAAATGAGAAGAAAATTTAAAAAATGAAAATTGCAAATTGAAAAATCCAAGATGGAAAAATAGAAAAATTAAAACCAAAAAAAAGAAAATTCCAAAAACCGTTAAAATCAAACAGAAAAATCAAAATTACGAAATTCAAAATATAGAAAATTTTAAAAATCCAGAACTGAAAAATCGAAAACTCGGAAAACTAGAATTAGAATTGGGAAATTCAAAAAACCGAACATCGAAAATCCAGAAGAATAAAAAAAATCAAAAATTCTGAAAATCGTAGAATTGAAATTAGAAATTTCAAAAATCGGAAATTGAAAAGTCGAATATTCAAAAAACCGATAAAATCAAATCGAGAAATTAAAGTTCGAAAATTCAAAATTAAAAAAATTCAAAAAATCTAAAATCAAGAATTCGAAAATTCGGAAAATCGAAAAATTAAAATTGGATTATTCAAAAAATTGAAAATTGAAAATTTGCAGAATTGAAATTGGAAAACTCATAAAATCCAAATGTTGAAAATCGAGAATTCAAAATGTCTAAAATTCAAAAAATGGAAAATCGAAAATTGAAGAATCGAAAAATGGAAAATCGGAAAATCTAGAATTGGAATTCGAAGATTAAAAAAAATCGAAAAGAGATCATCGGAAATTGAAAAATGAAAAATCGAAGATTCAAAATTAAAACATTCAAAAAATCGAAAATTGAAGGATCAAAAAATGGAAAATCGCAAAAAGGAAACGTGAAAATCTACAATTGGGATTGGAAAATTCAAAAAATCGAAAATATAAAATCGGAAATTGAAAAATCGAAGAATTGAAAATGTCGACAATTCAAACAATGGAAAATTCGAAATACTGAACTTCAAAAATCGAAAAACTGACAATCGAAAACTCGAAAGCTGACAAATTGAAAAATCAAAATTCAAAAATTCAAAAAATGGAAAATCGAAAAATAGAAAATCGAAAAATGGAAAATTGAAAAATCGAAAATCTAGAATTGAAATTTGAAATCTGAAAAAATCTAAAATGGAAAATCGAAAAATCGGAAAGCAAAAAATCGAAAATCTAAAACTGAAAATTCGGAAAATCGAAGATTTGAAATTGAAAATTAAAAAATTCGAAAAATTGCAAATCGAGGATTCGAAATATGAAAGAATCGAAAATCTAGAATTGAAATTCGAAAATAAAAAAAATCGAAAATAAAAAATCTAAAAATCGGAAATCAATAAATCGGAAAACGAAAAATCAAAATCGAGAATTCGGAAATTCGGAAAATTGAAGAAAATTGTTTTCTGACTTGAATTTTTCAATTCTTCAATTTCTCATTTTTTTTTCTTCAGTTTTTCGAATTGCAATTTTTTGAGTTTCCAAATTTAAATTTTTCGGTTTTCAATTTTCCAACTTTTGAATTTTTTAATTTTTTGGATTTTTCAATTTTTCGATTTGTAATTTTCACTTTTTCGATTTTACGATTTTGGAATTTTTCCATTTTTCAATTATGTATTGGATTTTAAAACTTTTACAATTTTAGGTTTTCCAATTTTTCGATGCTATTCGTTTTTTTTTCTTTCTAATTTTTCGATTCTTTAATTTTTTCAGTTTTTAGTTTTTCAATGTTTCAATTTCTCGTTTTTTCAATTTTTTCCGATTTTTAATTTTTCGTTTTTTCAACTTCTTAAACCCAAAAAAAGAAAAGAAAAAATTGTAAAATTGAAAAATCAAAAATCGGGGATTCAAAAAATCGAAAATTTGGAAAATCGAAGAATTGAAATTAGAAAATTCAAAAGTTCGAAAATTCAAAAATCGGAAATCAAAAAATCGAAAATTCCAAAAACCGACAAAATCAGTTTTCGATTTATTGAAGAATCAAAAAAAGGAAATTCAAAAAGAGGAAAATCGAAAAATCGAAAAGGCAGAATTTGAACTTGGAAATTCAAAAAATCGAAACCAGAAATCGAAAAATCAGAAATCGAGAATTCGAAAAATCGAAAATTTGGAAAATCGAAGAATTGAAATTAGAAAATTTGAAAAGTCGAAAATTCAAAAATCTAAAATTCGGAAAAGCTATAACACCAAATCGAAAAATCGAAAGCTGACAAATCTAAAAATCAAAATTCGAGAATTCAAAATTTAGAAAATTCAGTTTTCAATTTACTGAAGAATCAAAAAATTGAAACTCAAAAAGTGGAAAATCGAAAAATCGAAAAGGCAAAATTTGAACTTGGAAATTCAAAAAATCGAAACCAGAAAATCGAAAAATCAGAAATCGAGAATTCGAAAAATCGAAAATTTGGAAAATCGAAGGATTGAAATTAGAAAATTTGAAAAGTCGAAAATTCAAAAATGTAAAATTCGAAAAACCGATAAAACCAAATCGAAATATCGAAAGCTGACAAATCTAAAAATCAAAATTCGATAATTCAAAATAACGAAAATTCGAAAAATCGAAAATAAAAAATTAAAAAATCGGAGTTTAAGACGTTTTGCTAGTATAAAACACAAATAAAGAATTAATTATTTGTTAAACAAAATATGTAAAATCATCTAAATAAGGATGTACCAAAAATATTCACTTTGTCGTTATAAAAACCGATCAAACAACTATTTCCCGCAGAAATTATAGTCCAAACCAACCAAATCGCTTCTGAACCCTTAGAGTCGACATTGGCCTGAGCGCGCTCTGGTCTGTAGATCAAACAAGTTCTCAGGCGACAAGTTCTAGTGAAACAAGTCTTTTTATTGGCATCGACTGTTCAAATTTGGCGCTTGTCTTTGTCGCATCTATATTAATCTATGGTGTTACCTACCTGTTCAAAAACACAGGGGAAGCACCATTAATAAAAAAGTAAATCATTATCTCCATTTTATCTAATCTACACACTGTTTTATGTCAGTTTATTGTCAAATACACGAGTTTGTATCAGTTTCTTCCAAAATGGAATCCACAACTCTGGAAAAATTAGAAAAAGCCGCTCCTTACAACATTCTGTGCAACATCATCCCGGAATCGTCCGAAACGTCGCAGCAGCCCAACGCCATCAACTTCCGAGACCTACTTTGTCCGAGTCTGGGCAAACTCAAGTCGTCCTTACAAATAAGCTTCCTCATCGGAGTCGAGTGGTTAATGCAGCAATACGAATCTCAAAATCTAGCGTAAGTTTGAATTTTTGTCCCTCGGGAACTTGCTAGTCGAAAATTTTAGAACAACTCCGCTGACCCTTCTATATGGTGGCCAACTAAGCGAAGAGAGCGAAAAATACCTAGAAACTTTCCCCAACGTCAGTCACGAGTACGTGGAGATCAAGGGCTGCCACCACACGTAAGTTTCCCGGTTCGAAAAAAAACTGACTCAGAGTTGGCTCTTTTCAGAAAAATGGGAATCTACGTGTATGAGGATAGTTCGCTTCGAGTGGTGGTGTCCACCGCAAATCTGTACCAAATGGAGTGGGAATATGCTAATCAACAGTATGTAGTGTGGTGACACTTCCATTTTTTCAAACTTTGTTGTTTTTTAGGTTATGGGTGAGCCCTTTGTGTCGGTCGCTCCCGGAAACCGCCCCAGACACCTCTGGAGACTCCGCAACCAACTTCAAATCCGCTCTCCTAGAGTATCTACAATCCTACAAACTAGATATAGTCCAACCATGGATCTCCTACGTCACACGAGCCGACTTCAGTGACGTCAAAGTCTTCCTCGTTACGTCAATTCCGGGTCAATACACCCCCCCGTCCACCCGTTGCCACCTCCACCACGTGGGGGATTTACTCGCCCAACATTGTACTCTCCCCGACGGTGACGCCACCTCGTGGCCAATCATAGCCCAAATGTCCAGTGTGGGTTTCTACGGTAAATCCCCGGCCGAGTGGCTGCGCGGTACTTTCCTGCGAAACATAGCCGCCCACGACCGCTCCAAACTGGTCTACCTCTCCAGCGCCCCCTTGAAGATCGTCTACCCCTCTCTGCGGAACGTGCGCGACAGCTACCTTTCCAAAAACGGGGGGTTTTGTCTCAACTACGATATAGAAATGAGCAACAAGCAAGACTGGCTACGAAACTACCTGCAGTGAGTATGATGACGTTTCGGGTTTCGCTTGTGCAACTTCAGGGTTTTTTTTAGTCACTGGAAGGCGGACGAGCTCGGGCGGAGTCGGGTCATGCCGCACGACAAATTCTACTGTCGGATTTCTCCGTGTTTGACTAAGTTGGCGTGGTTTTTGCTCAGTAGTGCCAATATGTCGAGGGGGGCTTGGGGGAGCAAGTATTTGGACGAAAATAGGAATGTTTTTGTCAGGAATTATGAGGCGGGGGTTATGTTTTTCCCCAAGTTTTTTGGCGAGGAGTATTTCAAGATTGGGGGGAAAGACGGGCCGGGGTTTCCCATGGTGTGCGATTTGCCGCTCACCGAGTACGAAAAACGGGACCGTCCCTTTTGTGACATGTATTGATAAGGGAAACGTGATTTTTTGTGTTTTTGTTTGTGATGAGGTGAAGTTTGAACACCTGATTATTTTTTAATAAAGATAGAGTATTTTTGATTGTGTTGATTTTGTGTGTGAATATTTCAGAGTGGTTTCTGGCCGGTCCGACTGACGAAGGTTATTTCGACAGAACTTCCCTCGACTCAACAAAATCCTGAACCTTTGAAAGCCAACAAAATAAAAAAATGAAAAAATCGGAAAT